TAACACTTGAGCTTGTTTTGAAAAACTCCATACAATAAAACTAATCGTTCAATAAATTAAAGTTTTATCTATCACCATCTCATGGATCATTTCAACCGTCTATCTCGATATATTGTTACATTTGAAATAGCTTCCTTGAAGAAAAGTCTTGTAAAAAGTGGAACAAAGAGTGCGACACCAACTTTGACTCGAAAGACGTTGTTCATATGTTTTTGTACCGTTTCCCACAAATATATAGTTTTATACATTTTGTTTCACTCGCTCATTTTTGCACAGAGTTTTCTCGTCTTCTAAAAGTCAAAACGCTTCATCTCCTTGTAAAAGTCAACTCATACTCCCAAGTTTCATTTCTTCCATAGTCTTGAGCCTATAATCCAACACTATTGATTTTATATAGCCCCTTTTTTCCTATCCATTTCATATTCGAGCGACAAAATTGAGCTTTGTACATACAACATACGCTAAAGCAGGTTTGTATATTCTTCTCTCAACGAAGCAAACACAGACGTTCTTTTCTAGTTGCTTTTTTTTGAACTTTTCAAAAAGTTTCCTATAGCCCTCTGGTGGTGAGATCTCTTCCACCGGTGACGTTTTCAGCAATCCAACGTCTATTGATGTGGACATTACGTTAAACCAGATAGTAGTAAACAATAAATAAACCAAGAATATGCAGAAAATTTCTCCATTTATTGTTTGACAGAAACTATTCGAGATACTTTTCAAGAATTTCAATGGCACTCTCGCTTGTGTTTTCAAGTCTATGATGTCAGTAACTGTAAATCGATTGGAAGAAATGTTGAACAATTCCTGGAAATTTTTCTGGGTCTCACCTGTAATGTATCTACTTCATCTTCTTCGATTGACTCCAACATACATATTCGTTTAACGTGTATACCTCTTCATAAAACTCAAACAGCATTGCTACGGCATGAACAGGATCTTTTTTTAACCATTCCTTGACTTTTAAAAGACAAAGTAGTACCTAATAGAACCTACATTCCAAGACTTGTGCTTTCAAACAAAAATCCAACAGAGTCGCTCCAAAACTAGTCAAGAGGGTCTTGGACAGATTGTTCAAAGCACGTCGAGAAGCATTCATAAAAGTGTGAAAAGTCAAATGGTCGAAATAAATAAATGTGAAGATACAGAATAAACAGATGGGCTTGGAGAAAGAGTCGTCGAGGAGAAGTCTTGTCATTTGAAACAGTCGGTATCTTGGTGATCCATCAATGTTTCTTGTACAACGTCCAACCTGGCTTGCGTCTCTTCATGAAAAGCTGGGACAATAGCTAAAACATTAGGTTGCGTATTATACAATGAATAAAACTCCTTGATTACTGCTAGACCTTTGAGGACAATCTCTCCATTGTTATCAGTAATAAATGTACAAGCTGTTTTTGGCTGTACGCGGCATCTTTTTGCAACGTCTTGAACGGTGGTCTCTGTGTTTTCAAGAAACTGAGTGAATCACAAAATATCTTTACAAAACAACTTGAGATGTTTATCCATTTCTGTGGAGTGTTGATATTACCTTGAGAACCAGAAAAGGAAACCAAAAAAAAATTTCATCTATTCTCCAAAAAAAAGGGACAGAAAGATTGATTGGTTTTACAAGGAAACAATCAGTTCCCAAAAAAGGGTAAAAAAGCAGCAACACTATGTTCAACCAGCTGTATTGCGTTGAACATACTCGACACAACCAATTGGTAACGAGTCTCTGATATGGATGACAACACTCTCTCAAACTATAGGAGAGAATGGGCAAGCAATGTCATCAAGGTTATGGGTAAACATGGGAAAAGACTGTCGTTTAACTTGATGATGGTAAGAATCAACAAGGCAGGGAATTCTACAGAAATAGCAATCTAATGAGAAACCAATGCCAAGTCTTGTTCCCTCATCCAAAAAGCAACCAACAAAGATTGACAAATTTGCAGAGAGTTGGTATTTAAAGACGTTATTGAAGCTTCTATTGCATTTGATCGTAAAGGATTTTCCATGACATAGTTGCAAAGAAGAAAAGGCGTCATAAAGCGAATTCACTTTTTTTTCGTTGCAAGTGATTTCTTGGATCTGGTAATTGAGAATAGCCAACCAACATCATGAATTGATATTTGAGTTTGTAAAAGGAGATATCAAGTTGTTAAGGAATATGTAAAGGTGATTTCGTGGAGACTTGTTAAAATTCTAGTCTCACAAATGTAGGGGTACAATACGCTTATTGTATGGATAATTTGAGGGAATAGTAGGGGAATATTGTCCCGATGTAGGGGCAGTGTCTGGAGAGTGAAACATACTTCTGTAGGTATCACCTTGAGACAATCTAGTAAAACCAAACCTATCTCCAAGGCTGTAGTTGCTGCACTTTTTTTCGTACAGACTTTAACAAGCCCTTGTCGTTGACGACTAGAACACAGTTCTTGACTATGGATACGACTGTACTCAAATCCTTCAGTATGGTTATGCTTCAACAGGTAAACAAAAAGTTTTCAAGGGTTCTTTTCTGGGTCTGGGTGTCTTTGTCTCGAGGTCTCGTAAAGACTTGAGCTTTGAAAAGGACAACTTTTCTTTGACTTTTACTACTTGTAGCTTTGTTCAATGTCTTGGTAAACCAACCGATGATATCATTCAACTGGCTACTCAACTCAATATCACTTGTGTTTTTCCAAACTCGTTACTCTCAAGGGTACTTGTCCATTTTTAAGGAGTCATTTCAAACAATATTGAGGTGGAACTTAAACGTGTTACAGACTGTTTTTTTGCTGAATTGAAACGTATTTTTTTGTTATGGTTATTCAAAACAAGTATTTTTGGAAAAAAAAGGAAAAAAATAACCATTTTTTGTCATTCTTCTCTTCTTTTGCATAGAATGTGTCTTTATAGCATTGGCTCTTAATGTTTCGTTATCACTGTGGAAATCAAAGTTAACTTTCTTGGAATGATCTTTTACTGTTTCAAATGGCTTTACTGATTTTTACACACACTGTCCTCAATTTCAAATGCCCCATTTCC